TATATATATATATATATATAAAACCTAAAAAAATTATTATTTTTTTCTTAAGAAACATTTGATAACTATCTGTACATTATAAAGATTTCGCGTGTGAAATTTAAAAATTTTCTGATACATAAAATTGATTTTAATTTTAAAATGAATATTACTTTGCATGATAGATAGCAACATGTAAAAAGAAAAAAAGATGTGAGAAAAACATTACTTTACAAATCTGAAGACTTAATAAAAAAAATTTATATTTTTCATATTAAAGCATTGTGATTTTTACTGATAATCTACAAAATGTCATTAACATTTGCTAACTAATTTAAAAGTTATAGCATGAAAACTATAACAAGCACAAAATGTTTACAAGGTCGGTCCCAGGGACTGAGCCCATGCTGAAAGAGTTAAACAAGTTATATGTACCAGGAAAGGGAGACAGCATAAAAAGTTGGGAATTACTATCCTATAAAGCTGTTGCTTTTTATTTTTTTGGTGTCATATAAATATATATATGTATATATGGAATAAGTTTAACTTATCATCAATGATCGCTAACATCATAGATTTTACTAATAAGTGTGCTGCATTTAACTACTGGCTCAACAGCATCACCTGAAGACAAAACTTGAAATGTGGAAATTACTTTTATCATAAATAAATTATTAGATGGGAGGGGTCTAAAATCCTTGAGACATTTAACATGGCCATTAATTCCAATACTTTGGACTTCTTAAAATTATCTGTCATAACTCACTGTAATAAATAATAACAAAAAAAACAAAAACTGATAATATTGTGATTGTTTAAACATGAGAAATAAAGAATATTTACTGTTACACCATACTCATTCTTGAAAACTTCAAACTGAAATAAAAAAATTGCATCAAATTGAACAAGAGGGAATCCTCAATGGCTATGGCACTTGCAATTCTTTTAGGCAGGATTAGAATAAATTAATCCATAAAACGTTTTTTTCCTTTTTATTAGCTAAATTTGTGTGTGCCAGCAATACCAAGTGTGGACCACATGTATACCCGATTCAATTTTATTACTCATCATGATCTCTACCAGCCTACCCTCAAATTCAAATTATTTTAGGCAGGATTAGAATAAATTAATCTATGAAACTTTGGATGTGGTTAATTACATCAATCTAAAGGGTTTGATCTCTCGAGTCCAAATGTGTAATTAAATCTCAAATCGGTCAATAGATGATGGAGCTATGAGCTAAAAGTCTGTACTTGAAGAGAAAAACTCAGAGCCATTCTATGAGCCACTATGCTGTGGCTAACAACACTGTCTGACATTTGCTTGAAGACAGAAAAGAACAAACACGAGATAATATACTGAAAGTCGGGTATCAGCAATCAAAGTTAACATTTTCCTAAATTTGAAATGTATTTCCAATAATACTTACCTCCACTGACACTGACAGCTGTTCCTCAACCTTTGGCTTTGCCCATCTAAGCATTGGTCTCGCTTGCTTCAGTCTTTTATAACCTACTTAAATGCCCTTGGTGATCATTGTCTTGTGATACTCTCCACCTACGTTTTGGTACTGCATATAAGCACCTCACTCAGAAAATGTAATCACTTTTTCGAGACTTACACCACCCCAGTCACTAACACTAGCTTTTAATGGGGAGGAAGGGAAGGAGAGTGTCGGTGTAGGTAAGTATTATTGGAAATACATTTTCAGATTAGGAAAATATTAACTTCCAAAACACACTTATCTCCGCTAACACTGACAGCTAGAATCCCACATTGATAAGGTGGAGAGGCCAGTGAGGGCATTATCCATACAGAAGACATCTACATAGATCATGGGTGTACCAAGATAAGATTGGTACCCGAGTGGGGGAACCGCACTACATTCAGAACAGGTATGCACTTCACCTGGAACTCAGTTCCTGTATCAAAGGTGGAATAGTACATGAGTGAACATCAGTATAGGACAGCCTCAACCAGATAGCTGAGGTTCCACTACTCCAGGTTGGAATTAAGGGGTCATGGTACCTAAATCCCACGTTGGTGGCTAGGGCAATTGGAACTCAACATTATATATATGTATGTATAGATACTTTTGACTGGATCCTAACCTGTAGCCATAGATTGATGTGTTCCATACTACCGGAATCACAACAAGATAGGAAGCAACACTGAAGCAGATAAACCTTGTCCTCCACCTGAAGAAGTCCGTAACGAAACACCCCAGCTCAGAATGATGAGATAATGTATGCCATACTCAACCTAAAGAACAGACCTCATCTGGTCTGGAATTATGAATATGCATCCTCACTCCTCAACCAAGTGGGCAAGGAGCATTCCACTTGCCTCCAGAATTATGGGGAGGACGTGGAACACTGTGTTCAACCAAGGACCAAGAATAAGACCACTTTGCATTTGGAATTACGAAGAGATAGTGGATCTCCTTCCATGAACAATATACTAAACTGATATTGATCAAAAAGAAGGGCCATGCATATCCAAACTGGATAACTTATCTGAACCAGTATTATCAGTAGTCTCCTGCAGAAGTTGGTGCCTCTTCTACCAACATCTGGGAAAAATATCCAGAGACCCGGGTAGGAGGGCCTCCAACTTCACCCTCTTCTCCAATAATGGAGAAATACACTCAAACATGACAGAGGAAAAGCCTCTGTCCACCACCCCAGTAACTGGAAACTGGGTGTGGTGAGGACTCCATAGCTCCGCTATTAGAATATGAGAGGTAATGCATGTTGGGGAGTCCTGAGGAATAGTGCAATAGGTTAACCAAGTTCTCTAAATTTTTCAAAGCAAACCAACCTTTATTTATTCAATCTGATGATTGGCAGGGACATGCAGGATCCGCTTTAGCTTTATTCATGATAGTTCAAAAATGGAGGTGGTTGATCCAAGATAGCTTCATGAAAATCTGACCCAGTAAAGAAAGGCACCAGATTATGTCTCGATCTCACAATGGATCAAATCACAGACAGCCTCAACTGAGAGTGACCCCCTCCACTCGCAATCAAGAATTTAATGATACACGGCACATCATCAGAGAAAACCATGAGCAAATGCTTTATCAAGAAAAAGTGATTACATTATCTGAGTGAGGTGCTTATATACACGTAGGTGGAGAATATCATGAGGCAAATGTCACCAAGGGCATTTAAGTGGGGTATAAAGGACTGGAGCAAGCAATTTCAATGTTTAGATGGACAAAGCTGAAGGTTAGGGAATAGCTGATAGTGTCAGTGGAGGTATGATTTGGAAGAAGCGGAGTCTCATACTTTTGAGTATAAATTAAGCTCAAAAGTATTTAAATTTGGACTGCTGAAAGTAAAATCCCCATTAATACGATCATCATCTAAACATCATACATTCTGAACAAGATATTAAGATCACATTCAAATTATATTTTAAGAAAATGCAAATGAAGTAAAAGTTATGGGTATTAACAAAAATGTTTTGTTGGAGCCATGCACCTGATGGTAGACCAACATATTTTTCATTTGAATTCAACTTTCACTCTATAGTAAAATTACCAATGGGGAGGAAGGGAGGGGTTCACAACCCTATCATATTTTTCAAAACTAGTCATGTACCACATTACTAGTGGGTCAAAGATTTTGTTGGCTATGAGATTTCTAATAACATGTGAATCACACAAAAAATGTAAACTAAAATACTAACAATACTGCTGTGAACCCTTTCTCAATGGGCTCAGTATAAAACACCAAGTCTGTAAACACATTTGTGCTCATTAAGTATTTATACTATAACTTTTAATACAGTAAGCGTATCTTCACAAAATTTGGCAGACTTTTGGGAACATTACAAGTTCTTATACACAAAAAATCAGATTTTTTTGGTGAAGCATTTTTACTAAAGATTTGTTTGTGAATATATCAAGTCTGTTTTGTTAGTAGTCCAATTGCAAAGTGATTTTCATGTCATGATTAAAAATACTATTCTTCATCCCAAAAATATCAAATTTCATTTGTGTAAATTCTAAAACCTCTTAAATACATTTCATACATTTGTTTTCAGTAAAACATTATATTTTATCTGATATTTTCTCTATCCTAACTCTATACGAGGTTGGTCAAATTGGTCAACCTTGCAACCACCACCCAAAAAAAAAATCTAAATTACTTTTTTTTTCTTTCTAGAACGACTGACTTTAAACTGTAGTTTGCAACTACATTTGTTTATCCTAAATGGCTTTAAACTCATAACAGCAGACATCTATTTATACTTAAATTTTATTGTTTTATTGCCCTTTGAACCATGTCTAACTACTATTAATTTCATTATAAGTTGTAAATCACTTGGGGAACATGGGGCTGACATTACACTATCAAATTACATTACTCATGAGCTACTCGGAGCTGCTAGTGTGTGCCTCCTGAAAATTACTTATTATATTATTATTATCTATTTTACCTAATCTAACCTAAAGAGGTTCCTATTTTTACACCTTAGTTACTTGTATAATAATAAGTAAAGAATACACATGAAAAACAAGAAACAAAGTACTTACCTGGATCTTTTTTCAGTTGACTGTCAATAACACTTAGCCCTCCCTTTTTTTTAATACTAATATAGTAATGAACTAAATAATTTTTATTTAATCAAATAATGCACCAAAGAACATAGAATAATAACATGTAAAGAGCAGACAATGTCCCATAACTATCAATTATCCTGACTTTCTAACTATGCAACAAGAGCTGCTACAAATTCATCCAAGCTATTCGATATGCTTCCCATGGGAACGAAGCTTGTACTAAAAGAGAAACTGATAGTTCTCTCTTCAGAATACAACATAATATAATACTTCATTCGATAGATGATTACCTTGGCTTTTTAGTGGTTACAAATAATATAATAAATATTATCACTTATGTATAGAATTATCCATCTATTTACACTAGAAAACTAATTCTCGTGTACAGAGTTTGGTTTGGTTTGTTATGAATTTTCCGCAAAGCTACACGAGGGCTATCTGCGCTAGCCATCCCTAATTTAGCAGTGTAAGACTAGAGGGAAGGCAGCTAGTCATCACCATCCACCGCCAACTCTTGAGCTACTCTTTTACAACGAATAGTGGGATTGACTGACACATTATAACACCCCACGACTGAAAGGGTGAGCATGTTTGGTGTGATGGGGATTCGAACCCACGACCCTCAAATTGCGAGTCGAGCACCCTAACCACCTGGCCATACCAGGCCAATTACAAAGAAAAACATAAAATCATGCAATAAGATTCAATATATAGACCCTGCTTATCAATTTTACACTAAAAATAACTGTAACTTCAAATGTTTAATTAAAAATATGATTTAATTTACCACTTCACTGTTTTTTAGAATTATAAAAAAGCAAGTTGTTTTCTTTTTGCTAATCAGGCCTGACAACACTTGAAGAAACTAAATGTCTATCATGTTAAATACACACATGTACAGTTTTTCAAGGAACCACCTAATGATTAAACAAATACTAGCATACCAAGATGAATACAGGCATTTCAGAGTATAAAGAACTAAAAATGCTATAAAACTGTGTGAATAAATTCTAAAGTGCTTTTATTTTGCAGAATATTTCAGATTACCCAACAAATAAATAGAAACTCCCATGTTGTAAAACAACTTAAGTTCTAGTAATTAACTGGAAAGTAATGCAGGTATAAAGTGAAATGTTCAGATTCATATCCAAGTTGAGCTTACCCAATTGAATGTTTCTGATCCAGAGGGATTGGGGCGTTTCTTTAACAAGTTTTTCAAAATAAACTCCACTAAAACCACTGGAAAGACATGCAGCTAAAACTGCCAAGAGTCCAATAAACTTGGATGTCATGTCATGATCTATACTTGTTGAACTACTGGTTTCTTCAGGCCACTAGACAAAATAGAGTAACTTCAAATATACTTTTAAAAAAATTGTATTCATAAAATAAGAGATTTAAACATAAATGTATACTTCATTCAACCAATAAAACATAAACATGGACAAGTATGTCTACAAGTTTAGATTAGATTATACTTTAGTTTGTTTGTTTGTTATAGATTTCGCGCAAAGCTACACGAGGGCTATCTGCGCTAGCCGTCCCTAATTTAGCAGTGTAAGACTAGAGAGAAGGCAGCTAGTCATCACCACCCACCACCAACTCTTGGGCTACTCTTTTACCAACAAATAGTGGGATTGACCATCACAGTAAGACAAGAGGGAAGGCAGCTAGTCATCACCACCCACCACCAACTCTTGGGCTACTCTTTTACCAACAAATAGTGGGATTGACCATTGCAGTATAACACCCCCACAGCTGAAAGGGCGAGCATGCTTGGTGTGACGGGAGAACCTGCCGGGCCATTATACTTTAGTCCAAAGTACACTGTTTAACCCTAATGGCAGAAGATTTTAAGATTAAATGCTATGTTCATTTTCTGTAAAAAAATAAATAATGAAAATATTTTCAACTAAAAAAAAAGGAATGCACATGTTCCTCCTTAATTGAAAGCATAAAAAAAATCATTTGGCTGTCCCTATAAAGATACATGGCATATAAGAGTCAGGTCACAAACAGGCGTAGAGAAAGAACATGTAACCTCAATCTACCTGGTAGGTAACTGGAATGGTCATTTGGGACCAGTTACCCAAAATAATTTAAGAAATCTGGAGAGTACTGAGGACTGAAAAAATATGTAGCCACGATAACTGAACAGTATTTGATAAAGCCACTGTAAACAATGGCGATTGTGGAAGATGCAAAACCTCTGTCAAAGAGTCAAGTCAAAAAACGAGTTATGGTTGACACCACAGATTGAAAGGGTTCAATCTTCTCTCAATACACATTGCTGATATGCAATGGTGTGTGCACAGTATAGTGAAATGAAGGGGACAAGAAAAAAAAAATCTTACGATTTGGCAGAATCCATATGAAGCCCATACAAGTCCGAAGGTAAAAATCCAGAACTGCACTACCTGATCCTTGTGTACCACAAACCCATAAAGCAAAGTGTAGATAGGAGCCAACTACAACCAAGTTGGACATCTACAATCCCAGTAAAAAATTCAACACAGATTGACAAATGAGTAGCTTGTGAACCTTGGAGAATCTAGGCATTGATATAGACAAGGAAGATTGATGACTGGACACCAATCTTCTGTCTGCATAGGCCCAAAAACTGACAGGGATAAAACTCCGAAGAAATACCCCCAGACCAACCAAACTCAGATAACCCTAGAACTAAGTTCCAAATCCCAATGAAGTGTGGGGGATGGAAACCCTACAGCTTGGTTGGATAAAAGTGGAGAAGATGTGAACTGAATGACCAATTGTGGCCCAAGGACCTGTATAGCTCCTGGACCCATGAATAAGATTACCACATATCCAGAAATTCTTGGAACCAAGCCCCCACATTCTCTGCAGTTATACAATAATCAACAACACTGCTGGTGATCTGACAAAGCAGTGGAAACCTTGGATATAGACAGAATCTATTCTGAGTACCAATGTACCAAAAGGCTGATGTTGGGGATCAGAAGTCATGAATAGAGGAAATATTATGAACCCCTATAGAAGTCGATGAAATTTGTGACTCCAACAACAATTGGGAGAAATGTAAAAGCTGAAAATTGAACCAATATGTATGCTAACAAGGGATCCAGCTATTAATCAAAGAAGCTGGTGATCCTGAGTGTGGCTGTGAGAAAGAACATTTAAATATATAAGGGGCCAATGTTATGTCAAAGCTGTAATTCTGATTGACAAAATGTAGTAAACATGTGGAGAACAGGTAATTTGGATGAGTAGGAAGGTGTAGGACATGTTGACCTTGGTCATCTGCAGACTGGGTAAAAAAAGACCACAGGAGAGAAAAGAAATTCTGCAACAGAAATGGTGGAACAACCAGAAATTGGTTGCAGGAGGACAAGTCGATTCCTGGATGCTAGTCCCCAGTCTTCGCGGGGACCACAAAGAGAAAAGAGGAAAAACTCTCAGAAGGGCATACACTCTCTCAAGGGCATGTTTAGCCATAAGAAACAGAAGAAGAGGAACATATGAAGGTGTCAAAGAGAAGGGAATGAACCTCTCCAGAAAATCCCACTAGAGCTCAATGAAGTGCCCCAGATAAAAGGTGGAGGGAAGAGAGGTAACATAAGAAGGTGGGGAGAAAAAAGACAAAAGTGCTAAAATAGAGAACTAGACAGTGAAATAGAAGGCAAAGGGTCTGCTCCCCAAGCAAGCAAAAGGGATTCCAAAAGACAGGGAATCCAAAAATTGTAAGTGAATACAAAAAAGTCATGAATACAAGGGGTACAAGGCAGGTGGATGCAAGTGTAGAGCTGTTTGAAAAAGGAAACAGTATAAATATCAAGAATTTGGTTCATGGAGTAAAGATTGGGATATATTAAAGGACATATGCGAGACATAATGAAAATAACATACCCGCAAAAGCATATCCAGGAAGCGTTTGGAAGACTGAGGACATTCTTAAAAATTTAAGGCTTTACCCAAAGCAAATCGGGTTACAATCATTGTCCAGCAACTAGCCACTCACAACTAAGGAGAAAGAACTAGCTGAAGAGATGGAAGGAGAAGGCTTAGTAAACATGAGATAATCCACAACATGTTGAACAAAGGCTGTAACGTTAATGAGTCTCCAGAAGCCATAGTAGAAATAGACCTTGTGTGTGTAACTTTGTCACTCACAGAGAACAAGTAGAAGTCACTGTCACTTAAGAATTCATGAAAAGAATTAAAGCTTTTGAAACAAAAGCCAAAGAAAAGAAAAACTGAAGTTTCACTGACAAAAGCAAATATCATCAAATTGAACTCAAATGACAAATTTGAACCCATCTGTTCAATGCCCAGGAAAAAGAATAAAGTTGTCATGAGTGCAAGTGCATAGAGGAAGTTACTGTACATGAAGGTTGTCACCCTCTTATTGGTGGAGGGCTATTGTCGCAATGAGATTAGAATAGAGTTAACTGCAATTAACATACTGTATATTTAATTGCAATCACAAACTTGCTTCTCAATTAAAAATAATAATTTTCACCCTTTTGTCAGTATTCAGCTGCCTTTCTTACAACTGTAGAGCAAACAGAATGGTAATTTATTCATTGAAATTACTTTCAAAAACTACATAATTACAAACAGAAAAAACAAAAGCGTACTTTGATTACCTATTTTTTATTTCACTTTATATACCTATGACTTTAAGGTTAAAATAAAAAAAATAAAGACTTATGAATCTTGACAAGACAAATTCAAGAGGTGGGATCAGATGATACTTATTTTGAATATGAACATCACACATGATTTAGGTTTTAATTTTTTAAGTCCTCATTTAACTTAATGAATCTTATGCTTGGTCAAGATACTGCCTTGATAATGTACCTTAAAAATATGTCACAAGAGAAAAAGTAAATATTATATTTAACAATAGATACACAACAGACATCAGATATGAAAAACTGAATGTAACACTAAACCTTACCTGAACAAGTGTTACTCCAACCATTAAAAGCACAAGAGAGAACCACTGTTGTACTTCTAAGTGTTTATGCAACATGGTTACAGAAAAAAGGGCAGTTGTCAAAATCTTCAACTGATATGTCACCTGTAATATGAATATAAATGAAAAAATGTCTTCATGTATTTGGATTATTATTACTTCTTGTTTGTTAGAAAAAAATGACTAAACTAAAAGGGTTTCTTTGTCAAAACGATGACGATGAGTTGTTCGAAGATTTGTAGAAAATTAGTTTACAAGCAACAGATTATGCTTTTAAATTTCATGTTAAAAAATACATATTTTATAAATAACACAGTTTACATGCTTTCTTCTATACACAAATCATTAGATAATGTCAAATTCAAACCTAAATCACTGATATGAAATACTGTTTCAATTTTTTTAACCAAATTCTAAACACCAAACAGAGGAACTATTTGGTACTTCAGAATAATGCCATTACTTCTTTAAAAGAAAGGAGAACAATGTACATGATTCATAAGAACAGAACCTTTATTTGGTGGCAGGAAGGCAGTACTTTTCTGTATGGAATGTAATTAGAAACAAAAACTTTTTTCCCACTTTGTTTTTAGATGAAAAATAGTATACTTTGGAAGCATGTATTCATTGCAGAATACATATGCATATGTATGTACCACTGAATGCCAGTAGTTGATGTGTGTTGTGTGACAACACAACTGGAACAAAAAAGCAAATAATTAAAAACATATCCACGTAACATACTACTCAAAACTCTTTTATCATGCTCTATAAATATCGAACCTCATAATGTGTAAAAAAAAACATGATAAAAATGTCTGACATGATGTTTCTCAGCACACAATGACCTAAAATCCTTTCTCATATTACCAAGTTTCACACTTAAATACTGTATTGTGAATTGCTGATAAAAAAAAAATACTTACACAGATGCAATTTTGTGTAGTGGCCTAAGGCAAATTGGAAATATTATTTTTATAAGCCTGTAGTTTGAAATCCATGATGGACTGACAAAGAAATAAAAATAACTGTATTAAACATGCTGTTACATCATGCACAATGGCTTAAAATATATTTTAAGCTTCTCCAGCTTAGCAGTGGTTCACATCTTGATGTATTATATATTTTTATAGAAATTATTTGAGCAAATATTTTCTGAAGTATCTTTCAAATCTAGAATTACATACAACTGGTTCAACTTAATTAATGAGGATACATGATAATTCACTTGAGTATAAATACTGTAGTATTTCTTGTAAGAAATGAACTGCTTCAAATGGCCCTACAAAATCTACTTTTTAAAGGTTCCAGAAACCTCTAATGTTTTGTCTGTCTCATCGTTTGTGTGTGTCTGGCCAAGGCATTCACTGAAGTGCTTTACTTGGCTTTTATTACCTAACAAGCTGAGGTACCCATCCTTTCTCCGAGTTATGAACGTAAAAAAATTTGGGGTGTATGCTATGATAAATAACACAAAAACCCTAACTTTCACACAATCTTTTGTAGTATAACATGTTATTACAGTATTCATTATTACTCCCTAAAAGTTTTGTAGAAGCTTGAAGAACTCAATATGTATATGCTTAAAACATGGTATAAGCTGTATGATGGTCAGGGTGACTTTGTAGAAAGATTTAGTGGCCAAAGTAGTGGCAGCAAGTGTGGTTTCTGTTACCCGCTTTCATCAACCACCTCTTAATGTCCTTCCACTCTATTTCACATTATTAATTAATTGATGGTCATTGGCTGCAGAAGGGTCTTACAGGCCAAAGTTGAAAGGTCACATATCAAAGTAGGAAGTGGGTACAACTCAAGCAATGGCTCTTTATAGCAGTGTTATGGTTGCTGTTGTAGTATCAACTTCGTCTGAGCTTATGTAGTATTGTAACACTGGTGGCCATTTCTTTCATTACATTCCTCCATAGAGAGTGCTTGTGCACTATCTGAGATATATAAAAACAGTGTTTGTGTTATGTTGTTTTATAGAAAATGTTTTTTTTGTTTTTGGCATAAGGACGTGGCACCATCTATGAATGTAGTTAACTTATTTCAAGGATAAAAAATACTCAATAATGGGAGGTGGAGGGGGTTGTGAACCCTCATTAACATGTCCCTTTTTCAAAACTATCATCCCACAAAGTTTGGTTGAGATTGGCCCAGTGACCAAGTAGTAGTTAGATAATGGACACACAGATACATACACACACAGGTTTTTGTGCTTTAAATATATATATATATATATATATTTATATTTCATGTAACTCTACATCACTCAAATTATCATTCAATGTATTTCAAAACAGATATTATGCTTGTTTCCAATTTTTTAATTAAAAACTCCAAGTAGCAAATGTTAGAAAACCTTGGTATAAAAGAAAATATAGTTATTTTACTTTAAATTATTTATCTTTCAAATTATTCATGTACAATTAATAACATCACTCCTATTGTTGAGAAATTGATCATATTTATTCGTTGCAATCATGGTGGCATAAAATTCATAATAAAATACAAGATTGATATAACTTTTAATTATAGTTAAAAGGATGAAAGACATTATAAATATACACATAAATCATTTATTAAAAAAATGTTTACTGATAATTAAGAGAAGGATATATAATATAATCACCTACTTGCAGAATTTCCAAATATCATTTTCATTGTTGTTGTTGTTATATTTTTAGTGCAAAACTACACAATAGGCTATCTACTTTCTTTCCACTGCAGAGGAATCAAACCCCGAATTTTAATATTGTAAATCCGAAAACTTATTTCTGACTCACTAGAGGGCATATATTTACCAAAACCACAAAGATAAAGCGGCACAAAATTTAACTCAATTTCCAATGTGTTACAGTTACCAGGTATAATAATCATCACTACAACAGGGACTGTAAGAAATGTCAAAATTCACGGTACACTTCTGCTCTTCTTGAAATGATACAAAATAATTCAAATGATTTCTGAGCAATTTATTTTAGCTTAAGTTTATATACGATCACTTTATTCCCAGCAAGCACTGACATTTTTGATCCACAAATATACCACAGAGTTCAAGGACGTCTGAGGGTGACTTTACTGACAGACTAGATGAATGATGCAAAATGGCCAACTATCTTCCGTTTTTAGCCAATCAGCTAAAGATTTTGAAAAGATTCTCTAAAGATTGTTTAAGAAACTTAGTTCAAACAGAAGAAAAATTTATAAATTAACCTAACACAGATCCCTGCAGTGACTTGCAATAAAGAACAATTTTGTTTAAGATTGAAAAAACACAAATTAAGTATAAGTTTTATATTGATAATGTTCTCCTGAAATTTTCTAAAACAAATTAGTATTTGGTTTAAACTAGGCCAAATAAAGAAATCCAATACATGTATCTTATTAATTGTCAAAGCATTTAGGGCTAAATTGAATCCACAGAAACTTTCCAAAATAAACTATTTGACCAGGTTAACAGAAATGTAGGCTTGGCACTAGGAGGTTAACAGTCACTGTACTAATAGAATTTTTACTTAAATGAAAAAATAACAATCAAAGAGAGCAGTTGATCAAATTCTAACCTCTTATATGGGTTGTAACCATCAGTATAGGTGTCTGAATATATCTTAAAAAATCCATCTTATACCAAAGATAACTTGTATAATAAAATTTACCACTGGCTAACTGGTTTTGAACCAATATATATATATATATATATAGTGTAGTTGTTACAAACCTGGTAAGTAGCAGCATCCAGTTTGGATAAAGCAAGAAACAACAGATTATTTTGGACTGTGTACAATGCAGCTGGCACAAGAACTTTACAGGTGTCAGACGGCTTACTCCACACTTCCGAGTAAAGCAGCTTTATTAACTGATTTCCTGACCAGCCTAATTAGATTAAAATAAACAAACGCATTCAGTATATTAACACAAAAGCTGCACTTATGGAAATATAACATTCAAAAATAACAACAAAAATTCAATTTATGACATCCATAAAACATGTTTACTTTAATTTTTACAAATCTCATTTTTTGGACAAACATGGAAGTCCTTTTAAATTTCGTTGAACAATTTGCATCAAAGATATAAATTTTGTTTGTTTGTGTTTTAGTGCAAAGCTACACAATGGGCTATCTGTGTTATGTCCACCACAAAGAATTGAACCCAGATTCTACCATTGCAAGATAAACTGAACCATTGAGAGCAACTAATTTTGTTAAATATATATGATATACAATGTATGTAAGAAAGTATAATAAACTGTGACATTATATTAATTGAAACAAATATTTCAAATTAATAGTTATATTATTGGGGTTTTCAAATATGTAACAGCAAACTTTGATGTACATATATGTAAATTATAGTTTATTTATATAAATCCCTGTTGCGTGAAGTAATATATATATACTAGTTTTTCTTACTTTTATATTGTCTCTTTACAATGTTATTAAATGATACTAAGATAATGCCATTTGTATACACATATTCCCAATAATACATCAAAACAGAAAGAATGTTTGACAATCCTCATCATAATCACTTTTGAAAAATTTATTAAATTTGAAATATTTTGATAAAAACCTACTAGTTTCTTTTCAAACTTAAAACAAGTAAACAGAAAACTTAAAACTGGAAATTTATTTGATAAATATAACTAGTTTTCTAATGAAAATGTTAGATATTGTTATGAAAATCATTATATTAGACATGTAAAAGACCATCTAATAAAATTCACAATGTAAAGTTTGAGATAATTGACAATAATAATATCACACTTTATATAGTGTATCTAGAATTTATATTAACAAAATTATTTGTGTTAATAAACTTCTTTGTGTATATTAAGCAGAAAGCTACACAATGGGCTATATTTGCTGTGCCCACAACAGGTAGTGAAACCTGACTTTTACCACTAATAGCTTATAGACTTACCATTGAGCCACTAGGGGCAATATATTTGTTAAAATGTTACTCAAATAATGATGACATTAAACAAATATCTATAATCTTTTAAAGATATGGTGTCATTAATTTTATAAGCACAAAACCAGCTACTGGCAAAAGAAACATTTTTTAATAGACTATTAGTTTGAAAATAGACATATTATGTTAAAACTTGTTTATGGCTAGATATAAAGTTCCTAGAGAATATACTGAATCAAATTTTCTATCATCAAGATTTAGGCTACAACTTTCTGCTGAGTAGAAGGTAAAAATAATCATGATAAGCATTTTTATAGTTTTTAATTATACATGTACTGGAAACTGAAAAGCAATATAAAAACATTATTTATTGCACCTTATGTTTACTGTGAATCATTAAAAAAGCAAGTAATCACATAAATAGATATGAAATACTGGTTAACAGCAAAAATATTATTATAGCATTCTTATTTATATATTTTTACTTGAACTCAACCTTGGATAAAGGTATGTTGTATAATTCCATTACAACACCATATGATAAAATTCTCAACAAAAATAAATTGATATATTTTCTTATATTTATATCAAAGCTGAATCATGAAAAAAAATCTTTTATGTGAAAAATTAAACATGAATTCACAGTATCAAGACTAATAAAATAATAAGTGATAAAACTCTTTGAACAACTTTTAATCAATTTAAGTTTAAAAAAATATTACCACTCTGAAAAAAAAGAACAGTCAAACAAGTAAGCATCTTGAAAACTTCAGAAAGAACAACAGCAGTAGAACTTATGTACCGCTGACCAGTTGAAGGTGCAGTTCTGGAGTAGCGGAGCAATAAAACTAGACTAGTAGTTTGAAGCACAAGAGCTGCAAGGGACACGTATTTTATCACAGAAGTCATCTGAAATGTAATTAAAAAACAGAAATACCATAAACAACTTAACCTTAGAATTACCTGTGACTTTGAAGAGAACTTCCTAAACAATGCTTATGGGTTCATGACTTTATTGGCTACAGTTTCCCTAACATCATACAATGCTCTGCAAAATAAAGAAAAGTACTATCGATAGTTCAATTAATTTCATTACCTACTGCTGGGAATTTCTGTGTATTTGACATAAAAAATGATTGAATTCATCAAACCTTTTTTTTTCTCAGTTCTTTATATTGAGTATTGTGCCAGACAAAAATATAAAATTACTCAATATAATGACCCTGCTTAAACTGAATGGCACCCAAAGTCAGTAATATGAGGGTTAATATGCTCACATAAACTATAATTACAAATACCTAGACAAAAGAAAACTAAAGAACTCTAAAATTTTACTGCTTCCAAGGTATATTTCTATACAGAGATAAACATAATATTATAAATGTTATTGTACAGGTACGTCGATCAATGTGCTCCAAGAAACATGCTAAATGCTATGAGGGTGCCATTCATACAATTAGCTAAGAAAATCATATTGATAAGGATTGAGAAAAGACTGAAGGATAGCTGAATGAGGGAAAACAAAATGTTATTAAGAGAGTCCAGTCAAACTGGACCATTGTTAATAGTGGTATACCTCCTGTGTTATTGCTTTTCCTTATTCACATTAATAACATTCATAAGGGTATAATTAGTAAAGTTTGTTGATGACATTAAACTCTAGGGTGTTTCTAGTTGTGTAGAGATATTAAAGATGAGCTCTGATCAGAAGATGAATTGGAGTCAGAGGAGGACTACTACAATGATTGTATGGATAATCTCATGAGGACAGAAGATCTCTTAACACATTTTCTCTTGAAAAAAGATGAGTAAGAGGTGATGATAATTGGAGCTTAGAAGATTATCCAGGGAATAAATAGAATAAAGGTCTCCAATTTCTTTTTAATGAGGAAACAAGTTTTAAGTTTTGAAAAAGACAGAAGGGGCTTTATTTAAGACTGCTTTATATTTCCATTATGATGAATAGCTTATGGAACGAGTTGTAATCAGCAATAGTGAAGAATAGCACCTTACAAGAGTTATGAATCAATTTCCAAGAGCTTCCTGACTAGGTAAGTTTGTGTTCTTTGTGAGACTGAAGTTTCTTTGGATTGAAGGAGTTTGTTTTCTCACCCACCATGTCAACAAATTACTGGAGAAGTTGAAGCTTTAAAACTTGATTTTAAAAATTGAAAAACGAAACAAGGCTAGAAATATGGTTCAAGAGCAATTAGGACTAGCATTCATAAAATTATCATCTCTGATGTTTCTTTAAAGTCCAATTGTAGAGATACACATAATAAGGCTTGTTTGCCTCAATTTCAGGAAAGTTGACTTTCAGAGATAAGATACCATATGAACAAAAGAGACAAATTGGTCCTTCAAGGGTGTCCCTTGAGAAAAGTAAAAATTTAAACCCACCCTTTATTTTTCAGGAAATTATCAATTTTCATTTAAACTCTTCTAAAGTACCAGAACCCCATTAATGCTAATGACAACACATTCAATAAGTCAGTCAACCTGTCAGAAAAATAAAACTGTATCAACTGGAGTCCAGCCTATCTTTCTCAAATCTGTGTCCTATTGTCTTTGGAACATAGCAAAAGAAACTAGAGGGCACTCAGTAGAGCACATACCTCCGCCACAAAGCTTTGATCTTATTCGGCTCTCAAAAAATATGAAAATGTGTTCATATATCCATTGTTATGAACAGACACAAACTATTTTTGGCAGGACAATGTGGAATAACATTCTACATATGTTTGCCAAGTTCCATCAAAATCTGATCATTTTTGACTGAGTTGTAGAGCAAAAATAGAGAGAAAAATCAGTTCCCATGATAACAGTTAGGGATTTTTTTTATATTTGGGAGTTGCTATGACCTTGATCTTCTTAAAACTAATACTTCTAAGTTGGGTCATGGTCCAAATGTATACCAATTTTTGTCCAAATCCATTCAGCCATTTTCGAGAAATCTTGCTGACAAACACATACAGGGGTGAAAACATAACCTCCGTCAATCTTCAGTGGCTGAGGTAATTAGAGGCCTTTATCCTAACGATCCCCTGGATAATCTTGTAAGTTTCAATATCGTCACCTCTGGTCTCACAAACCAACAATGATGCGATTTTCTTAGGTTTTCAAAAAAATGTTTGATAAGGTGCCGCAAAACAAAATAACTAAGTACCCCACATCCACACCATTTCCTCAAACAGATAACATGTAATATCTATTAAGAAAGTTACAAGGGAAGATTTCCCTTTACTGAATTCATGTTTTCTTTTATCAAATTCTCCAGAGTTTTTTCCACTACAGAATTAAAACAAAATGGTTTATATTTTCCAGGGCAACTCCTATCATCCCCCTTTAAAAATATAAATAGCAAAAGCAATCTCTATTGACTTTACAAAAAATGAAAGAGAAAAGCTCACATATCTGATCTGTGACCTTCTTTAAAACTCTGCGGAAAAAAACTTATCTCGTCCTGGTGCATTATTCCCAGTCTTTCTTTTACCACCAAGTAATCAATACCTATGTTATTCAGGTCAATCCCAATATTTTCAATAAAATGCTCAAGGTAAGGAGTGTTGCTAACATTCTTTCTTCTAATAACAGAATACTTGTAAAAACTCAGTCATCCCATAGTCTACAACAACATGAAACAATATGAATAAAAGTTTTGCACTGGAAAAATGTATAATGATCATCATTCTTGTTTATTGTCAATAGGTGTGCGTGCTACAAGCTGCCGGGAATGATCCTCGAAATACTAGATACCCAGCAGTCTGCATGATCATGAATACTGAGAAGCTTTCAATATGATACCTTATATAGATCTATAATTTGTGATAATCCAATTTTTGGACATTATCATTTATTGTATTATTATTATTATTATTGTCATTATCATTATTATTCCTATTATTACTATTGTTGTAGCTCATCAATATTCAATATTAGTCTCAAAAATTGAGTAACTATAGTTATGGAGTTGGTATCTTAATATTTTTATCTTTCTTTTTTACAAGATAGGCTAAGAAAAGCAACTACAAGCACATAGTAGTATTATTGTGGTAATTTCCTCAGCTAGGTAGCAAACTTCTCACAGACCTGACAAGTGCTCTACCAACTGGGCTAAAGGGTTAACCCACTAGCATTTATTAGTAAGGCACTTTTTTTAACAACTATACTAATAATAACAATGTTGCTTTTGTAACATATGGACAACAAGGGCATTAAAAGTCCTTCAAGAATGCCCTTACACACCTTTTAACTATTTTCATGTTACAAAAATTAAAGTTTTAATTGGAATCTGTCCTCTTATGTTTTCAGGATATAGCACAAAGAAATCATAGGCCTTTATCCTATTGATCCCCCAAGTTATCTTTGAAAATTCGGTAAGATACATCTTACATTTCTTTTCTTATGAGAAAACAGTTTAAGAGATCTTAAAGTTAAACTATCCCATAAGTCGACTCCAAATAACCTTCCATCCCAGGAATCATCCTAGTAGCCCTACTCTGAACCCTTTCCAGTATGTATATATCCTTTCTTAGGGATGAAAGCCAAAGCTCTACAAAATGTTACAAGTACAGCCCATCTAGTGATTTGAACAGATATAATATCTTGTTTTGACTAGTAATGAATCAATGCCTATACATAACTCTAAAAGTAAAATTCAATTAACCTTACTACTAGCAACAAAACAGTGTTTTCATGACTTATCCACTACTATATCAAGGAAGAACAAAGAGTTTAACATATCTAATTAATAAGTTTTATTATTTTAGTATTTATGCTTTATTGATTCCCGTATAATGTAATTATGAAAACGCAAAGGCCATATCATTGACCACTGAGGCACTATACTAGTAACAAGGGTTCAATTTGAATGGACTCCATCAATAAAATAACCTTATGCTTTTTCCCTTCCAAAAACACTACAATCCAATTAATTAATTTGTTTTTTTATTAACTCCTACCAATGTGATTTGATTAGCTTATATTTTGTGTGGCACTTTATCAAAAGCTTTTGGAAAATCTAACGTGCATCAAGTCCACATCTTTGGCCTTTCCTTCATCGAAATAACAACTTCAAGGTTCGAAAAATAACAACGACTAAATATATATTTATATATAACACTAACAGTTTTCTAAGGCAAGATCTCCTTCATAATTAACCAATACTAGGTTTCACATTTATCATACTCCACTAAATGATTCTGTTAAACTTATTTTTCATACTGCCTAGAACTTAGAAGTAGATTTCTTCCGCTACATATTACTATTAGATCAGTGGCCTAATAAGGTACAGTTTGTTAAGCAACTCTACCACTAGTTCCTTCGAAAATAGAAGTAACGTAACCAACCCTCCAATTAAATTTTTAAGGCACTTGCTTACCGCCTGTTGACGTAACAAGAATGCAAGGTAATGACTCACATATTCAATTTACGACCTTTTTTAAAAGTCTGGGGAAAATCTTGTTTGGCTCTGGTGCTTTATCTATCAAACTTTCTACTTACCACGAATTGAATAATATTGTTTTAACTTTAAGCTATATTTTAAATGTTGTAGTTTAGACGATGGCTAGAGGGCGCATCACGTTAATCCTACAATATTCAGGGGTTTATCAAAATACTTAGAACAATGATTAAATTATAAATTCAGGTGAGCCATTTCGTTGGTAGTAAGCTAGCAGTGAAACAGTAAGATCCGGCATCGTGAATCAATCAATACTGTTACGTCTCTGTTCGTTAGTTAATTTTCCGTATAATTGCTTTCCGAAAAAACTTTAGCGATACAAGTCCTTTCTTAAATTAAACTGGTTTATTTTCTCTAAATACAACTTTGCAATACACTTAATTTCCACAGTCACGCTATAACAAACGCTATAATTCACAACGAACGACTTATGTGCTCGACTCAATCGTCAATCTCTGTCTGCATTTCAATTACATTGTTGCAGTCAGTTCTTACTGGTCTAATATATACAAGAATACCATATATCTAGTAACCTCCAGAGACTTCAGGAAGGGACAGGATCCTTCCAGAAGTTCATGACGTGTTACTAGGGTCACGTGACTTCCGCTGTCGTAACAGTATGTTCACGTTTTTAGACCTGTGTTAGTTACCGTACATATTGAGCTACTAAGTTGATTTTTACATTATTTTACAGGTAGCTTGTCTGTAAACATAGGCCACAACAAGTTACAAAATGCACAAGTCTGTAAAGGAAAAATAACACTAATTTTGTAATTGTTATGTGGATTGGACGTTCAATTATTTTCACCACATAATTCAAAAGAACCAGCAAACAAAGGAACATCTTATAGAACACTGATGTCAGAAGTGGTGCTATTTTGATGAAAATGAATTAGAACTTTGACAGATCTTCAGCTGTTGAAAATGACCACCACAGAGTCAAAGACTGAAAACAAAGTGTTACGTCTCCGTTTGTTAATTGATTTTCCGTAACTTCGTTCCGACGAGACTTTAGCGACACAAGTCCTTATTTAATAAAACTGGTTTATTCTTTCCGAATAT